GAAGCATGAGCTATTTACGTTGTCTTAAGCAGGCAGGCTGCACTCTAGGAAGCAGCTAGGAAGGATCGCTGGACTAGCAAACAAACCAACAATGTCAGGACTCAGGATGCCGTCATTTTTATTTTCATGTGATAATTAAGGATCATTTTTATTTTTATGTGATAATTAAGGATCATGAACTTTTTCTAGTTTTCCGTTTAAAAGCTAAGAATTATGATTTTGCTGTTGTATTTTTATTTTTTTACACATGCAATCTTACTGGGTCTAGATTTTGATTAAGAAGAGTGCTATAAGAATTATTTAAATTCTAAATGCTATTCACTGCTTCAAACTGACAATCTAAACAGTAAACATCCCTTAAAAGGGAGGAATTTTGCTGTATTTCCTAGATACCACTCCCGGACCAATAAAAAGACACCATCTTGGCATTTTTTTTTTTTCACATTTCATCAATAAACTGATGAAAAAAAAAAACAGAGATGACATACTTTTATTGGTCTAAGATACCATATCAATGGTATCTCGGGGATACAATAGAATTTTTCTTTAAAATGAGCTTTGATAGTTAGGTGTGTTTGCCCAAATATTGTGTAAAAAAGAAAGGTCACTCACTCATAACCCAAGTTTAAATTCATCCATCCAAAAAAAATGAAATAAATTAATAACTAATATTTTACAATTTAATATTTTTTTTTAAATTGTAAATCATTTTCTAAAATAATAACCTTCTTAATTAGTGAAACGTTGAGGAAATGATGATGGTGGAGCGGAGAGTGGTTTGATTTGATGTCATTTATCAATCATTTGAATTCCTCAGCTTCTTTTGATAAAAGTGCTTCTTATGAATAAAAAAAAAAAGTTAATTTAAATTGATAAAAAAATTCTATTAAGTTATCCAAGTAACAATTTTATAAGAAATTTAAAAGGGGGAAAAAAAGTCACTTTTTTTTTTTTTTTTAGTTTCCCGCCTGGTATCCGAGACTTCGCCCCGATTAATCCGGACCCGACCCGCGTCGCGCACCTGGAAATGGTGGGTGAGTCTCCCAGCGGGAGCTGCTGTATACACAAGGACGCGAACTCGAGACCTTGCTTAAACTGGAACAAGCTGCTTATCACTTGATCCAACCCCTTGTTGGTACGCCAGCACCTACTTGATTCACAATATACCCTAATTGTATCCTAGGCCAGTTGTGCAATTGGAGCACAAAAAGGTATATATAAAATCTTCACTCCAAAGATTTTTAGTATATTTTAGCCAAAAAGAGACGAGTCAAGATGATGAGTAAAATTTCATGGCGAGGCAAGAGGGACGATAACCTTGGTATGGGGATCAGAATCATCAGGTCTATCAGGAAGTGCCCTGTTCGGCATTGACAATAAATGTGCAGTCCATTACAATTTTGATGGTTCTACAACGTCAAAGAAATGTGAATATAAGAACTTCACGTTCACGGCATTGAGATTTTTATTTTTGTAATGTAGATATTGATTTTTGTAAGCTAATTTATTTTCTCGATTTTGAGATATTGCAGCCATAAAGTATAGACAATAGTGGCTGATTTCTTCATTTTCTTTTGCTCCTAAATTGTAATACAAATGAAAATGCCTTCTTCTGCCCTCTACAACTCTTCAATGAAGTTATAATTAGTCAAGTGATTAATATTTTAGATTAAAAATTCTTATTATTAATATTTTAAACAATTTATATTCTTAATATGCAAGGTAATAAATAAATAGATATTATTTGATACGGTTTAAATCTCAAAAAAAATTTTACCATACAAGTTAAACAACCCCTTAAATAATTTACAAGCGGTTGGGGTAATTGAGAATGGAAAATAGTTTTTCAATTTCTTTAACAAAAAAATTTCCCAATTAGAAGAAGAAAGAGATTTCCCCAATTGTAATATTAGACGGCTTCACAGCTCTCCAGCTTTCTTTCTGTCTCTCTATCTGCCGTGAAAAATTGTAAGCTCTCTCTCCGATCTCCCTTTCAAGCCTTGCCATCTGGGTCCTCTGAATTGTGGTAATTTTTTTTTTTTTTTAAGATTTCTTGGTTCGAGAAATTTGGGTTTTTTGCCATTAGCGACTGATTTCCGAATCATGTTTCTCATTGCTTCTGGGT